ACAGGATGAGGAATTCCCTTTTTGCTACACTGGGTATATTTTTTGAATTTTGGCCCCTTTCTTTATAATACCCAGGGGATGACATCGTCTAATTCCCAGGGGAAAGATGTATAATACCCGACAACCCCTACAAGAATCCCAAAAAAACCCGGTGCATTTAACATTTTAAACCAAGACCTTTAAATGAAAAAAAGGCAATATGCATGGGGGAATAACAATCCACAGATAATAGTCTGAGACAATCATACTGTGGCAAGACCCCCTTCGTCATTATGAGTTGATTTTTCCAGTAAATTTTAAAATTTTCTTCAGGAACAGGGGTGGTAGTGGAAATAAAAGGTAAAAGCTGTAAAGGACAGAAGGAGAAAGATTTTAATGATAAACAGGAATGAGTCTGTGGGGGGAAGGGGGGCACTGGAACTAGCGTGAAGGATCCCAAAATACTTCGGGGGGATTCAGAGATCGTCGCCAAAGGGAAAAAGGTCGGGTGTTTTGGCCCCCCCGACGCCCTTCAAACGAAGGGTTCCACAAAAGTTCAAAAAGTTTTTCCCAGTTTATGCTAACTGTTAAAACCCCCCTGGTTCCTATTTTTTGTGCAGGGAAAGGACGGCTTAAAAAAATAGGGATGAATCCCAAAGGAAAAGGCAATGTGGGGTTTGGAAAACCCATTTTTTTGCCCCCTTCCAGACTTTCCCCGCAACTTTTTTGGTGATGGGGAAATGACTTTTTTTTGGACTTTTTTTGCTCAAATCTTTCCTGAAGTGACTGGAGCTTAAAAAAAACTCCTTGTGTTGAATGCCCACGCTTTAGGTTTAGTGTTTTTTTTAAACAATATTTATTTTTTGCAGGGGGGTACCTTGATGCTTGTTAAGGGCTCGGTTTTTCCATGGAATTAGAGCTACTCTCCCCAATTCGAATCAAAAATTTTTTTATCTTCCCTTCCCCCGATGCTTTATTGCCTTTAAAGGTTTAGCATTTTTTTAAAAAATGTAAATTTCCCAAGGGTTTACACAGAAATGCATTTTTATATATGAAATTTTTCTCCCCAAAACCTCCTTTGGTTTTATTTTAAAAATTGGCTAATTTTCGTGCCCCGACAAAAAACAACCCAAAAAAGTTATTTAAAATTTAAAGTTTTCTTGCTGCCGAAATAAAATTCCCGAGGTGACTAATACTTTCCCTTTTTTAATGAGAAAAAACGAGCTGATAAAGGGATTCACCCTTAAATTTTTTCCCCCCTTTCAAATGAACCCGGGGTTTCAAGGCACAGCATAATTTTCTTGTCCCCCAAATGAAAAAAGGCAGTGTGCCAGGTTTTAACTTCCCGGGAGAAATGGTCTCCAAACCCGGGCGGTCCAAAGGGGCCGCTGCCCACAGTGGTTCAGTTTGGGGGACCGCTGCCAGGTAAACCTAGGGGGGAAGTCCTCTTCAAGGGTGGGGTCAAACCTTTAAAAGGGGAGGTCAATCTCAAGGGTAGGGCAACCTCAAGGGTTGGTCAACCCCAAAGGGGTTTTCAGCTTAATCATTTAAAACCTCTTTTTTTTCCTTTATTAAATTTAAAAAAAACTTTTTTGAGTGTTCTTTTTTAACATATGCAATTTTTAGAAAAAACCTGTCCGTATCCCGCTTGTAATTGCACAATTTCCGAATAAATTTAAAAAATTTTTGTTTGTGTATTTTTAGAGTTAGACATTATAAATTTTTGCTTCATGAAAATATAGTTCTTTAAAGGGCTCGTTTTTGGGATTTCCCCAAAAACTTAAATTTAAATGACTTGTGTTTGTGAAAAATATAAAGTGTGTGTTGTTTTAAAAGTTCTTTCTGATAGTGTTGGTGACGGGGGGTTCCCCCATAGTGGTGCTGCTGTGCTCGTCTTTGCCCTTTTGCTGCCCCCGGGCCCGAAAAAAAACACCCGGGAAATTTAAAAAGGGAAGGTAGGAGCCCGCTTAAAATCACAGAGGATGAGAGTTTGAAAGTGTTAAAGGTCTGATGGTTTTGATGGGCTCAAATAAAATTTTATTTTTTTCTAAGCTTTATTTTAATGAAATTTTGTTTTGAACCCAAAATACTGGGAAAAAGAATGAAATAGAAGAGCAAAGGGGGTACTTTCGTCAGCTAAAGGGACTATTGTTTTTTTGTTTTCCCCTTTTTGGTTCCCACGTATTTAATTCACTTTGGGTTAATGTGCCCTCTTTTAAATCCCCCTTTTGTGATTTCGATGTAATTTACATTTTTAAAGTTTGAGCATGGTACTCACTCTGAAAAGGGGCCTGGCGCTCCCCCCTTCCGAGGGCTCGCAGCGCCGGATGTCCCGCACACTCGACCGTGAGCCTGATTCCCGAGCCTTTTGAGAGTTTTCCCTCGACCCAAATTCCCCGGCCCCCATGCCAACCCCCCTTCATGGGATGTTTTCAAACCCCGGATTCCAAATGGCCTGTTATCCGGGTTTTAATTTGGGGGCCAAAAAAAAAACAGCAGAAAAAATTTAGAATTGTTAAATTTTCCTTAAAAATTTAAACGCAATATGAAAACTATGTACCCGTGATAAGTTTAGTGCATCCAGGTAAGAAGGAGAAAAAAGGGAAGGGCCCCAAGATTAAACAGACCCTGCTTAACCAGCTTTTTAAAAATGGGGAAAGACAAAAGGGGGACGGAGAGCGGTACCCCTAACCCCCTGCGTTTCCCAAAACCCTTTCTTATTGGCTAGAACCTGGTCATAGTTTTAACGACGGGGCCCAAACATCAACTCTTAGCAACCCGGTTTCCCCTTGGTTGGGGGGGATAGGGCCCGTAAATGAAAAGGGGGTTTTTACATGCGCCCAAAAAAAGGTTCGTATCTTTGCATGCCCCAGTATGTTTGACACCGGGGTGAGTAATGCTTTATCTTTACTTTAAGGGAAAATAAAAAAAAAGGAAAACTGCAACAGGGGCCCATGGGCCCCTTTTGAGGAAGGTCCAATTCTCCACCGGTTAACCGTAGGCTGAAGAAAATAAACCCTTTGGAATGAGATTAAAGCTAAAAAATAAATAAGCTATGACCAGCTTTTGAGGACCCAAACAGCAAATTTTTTGGGTTATTTTTTTTATTTGTGTCAACTACTGACAACACACCAAAATCTTTTTTTTATTTGGCAGGTTCTGTTTTCTTTCTTTTATTCGATGGGGGCTTTCTCGTTTTTCCCCAAAAACTTGGCGAGGATGATGTTTTTTATGATGCCCCTTTTTGGGGTTTTGGCCCCAAACCAAAACTTTTTCCCGAAAAGAAAAAAAAATCCCAAAAACTAACTTTAAAATGAAGGGCTTTTACAAAAAAAGGAACCCCTTTTAATTCCCTTTCCCTGGAAACCCCGGGAATTCTTTTCATGGATCCCCAAGTGTTCGTGAAAACCCCCAGATGAGAACCCTTAGTCTGAAGAATGTTTTTGAAGAAAGGGGTTTCTAAGGAAGTGTTTTAAAGATGTTGGAAGGGCAAAGGGGACGAGTGTGGGGGGGAAAGGGGTATTTATGGTAGGTGGTTCACGTGTGCTAACCAAATATTTCCTAAGCATTTTGTTTCCCCTTTTTGGTAGAGGACCTTTTTAATAATGTTCAGAGGCTATGGATCTGCCTATTCTTGATAACTTCTTTAACATCTGTTTCAAGTCTTATCAGTTAAAATTTGAGACTTGGGTGTTTACCTTCCCCGGGATGATCAATTCGGTTTTCTCTTAAATTTGTAACATTTGAAAACCTTATAAGTTTAAATTTTATTGCCAGATACATTATAAATTTATTGTATTTGTTAAATTTATGTTTTCTTTCTCTGTAGCCTCCAATGAGCTACGAGAAGCAGGAGCGGCTACATCGAAGCCCCCAGGTCGGAGTAAGTGTGGGACGACACTCTCAAGCGTCCTTCGCCGAGGACCGTTCTGTGGGGGTACACACCACCCTTCCCCTGTGGTGAGTTTTGTCTCCACCTGTCGTGGTGGTGTGTGTGTGTGTGTGTGTGTGTGTGTGTGTGTGTGTGTGTGTGTGTGTGTGTGTGTGTGTGTGTGTGTGTTTTTGTGTGTGTGTGTGTGTGTGTTAAACTGGAGACTTGATCGTTCTTTAGGGATATGACTCTGACATCCAGACAAGACAGAAGAGTGCAGCAACCCTGTCATAGTCGGGTCATGACATTCTGTGCTTCCATATACGATATCTGAGGATCGAGCCTCATGCATTACACACCCTGTGTCGTAATGTCTTGATGTTTCATGTGTGATTTTTGTGTGAAAGGGAAATTATTTTCTTTTTAAGAAATATGAGGGTTGGACTAATATTAGATATCTTAACAGCAAGAGTTACAGTTCATGGGGGATCCCACAGGATAATCTCGGGCTTTGGAGGGAAGGAGTGAGCGTAACTACAGACAATGTCATTGTTTACAAAAAGGAACTTTACGTATTCTAGTAATGCAGAGGATTTTTTTTATTCTCTCAGGATCAAGTAAGTCTTCCTTATACTAAAACTTTGGGAGTGTCAGTGCATCTAGGGAAGAGAGAGAGAATAGAGAGTGAGGAAGGACATGTTACATGAGGATAAGACACGAGACCGAATAGTTGGGAAATTATTTGACATTTAGAACATAGAAAATAGTTTAGTCGAAAACATTACTATACTATACTACTACTAAATGATAATAATAATAATAATAATAATAATAATAATAATAATATAATAATCTGAACACTGTTGTTACTATTATGTTTATTATTAATAAAAAGCGTCACAGAGTTTAGAAGGTATGGCAGAACACACACTTGCCACTCAAGAATGATTCCCATTGAAACAATAAGACTGATGGAGCGAATCATTAATTCAGTGTCCTAAGTGAGCCCATCTGAAACCTGAGTAATACTAACATGTCAACCTCTGTATGTTGTTATATCATGCACATTGACATTCGCTTCCTCCAACAGTTGATCCTCGTGTCAAGGGGCCAGCACTCCCCGTCCATGTGTAGTGAGTCGCGGGGGAGAATGGTGAACCTCGTGTCATGATTGGGGCAGATGCTCGCTCCGACCTGGCTAGCTCTCAGCAGGCATTCGTCGACCTGTTGGACCAGCCAGCTCCTGCTGCAGCATTGGACAGAACCAGCAGGAGGGAGAGCATAGCAGCTGCTTCAGTCCACAGCAGTGCCAGGATCAACCGGTCTAGATCACACTCACGGGAGCATCTGGCGAATGCCTTCCTGCATCAGCTGCATCCACAGCCCATATGGACTCCAACAGGTCTCACTCCACGGACAGGCTCCACCACAGCAACCACGACCTCTCTACAGATAGACTCCACCACAACGCCCACAGCCACTCCACGGACAGGCTCCATCACAGCAACCACGATAATTCCACGGACAGGCTCCACCACCACAGCAACCACGACCTCAACTCAGAGTTTGGGGTCAACTTTTCCTTTAGAGGAGATGGTGAACGGTGAGTAGACGGAGATCATGTTAAAACCTGTGTAATGACAAAAAAGACAACACCTTCACCATCTTCATGCAACAGCTGTCTTGCTGGAAATTCTCAGACATTACAGTGCAAATGACTTGAATTTTGACTCGATTTTTTCCCTTTTTGAAAACCCTTTTATTGTATAATAAAAAAAAATATTAAATGGTAATTGACCTTCAGAAGCTTTATGGTTTTCCTGAAAATTTACGAATATATTTTTTCCTTCGTTGTCCTGGAAAAAAAATTGATAAAAATAAAATAAAGCCAGTAAATTTTTTAACTTTAATAAAAAACGAACAAGAATTTTATGTAAAAGTCATGAATTTTGTGTAAAATTGATTAATTTTACACAAAATTCATGACTTTTATACATAATTCATGTAGTTAACTGTGTGCTCTTGATTAATGGCATCCCTCATGCACCCAAATTTGCAGGACCATGAGCATGGCCCGCTCCTGCGATGAGCCCACAGTCAGAGCACCCATCAGAAGTCTGCGTGCTGACAGCTTCTACTCTTCAAAGGCCCTGTCTTCTCAGCATATCTCTGACGTATGTACACAGCTGTTGATACGACAAATAAAAATAACAAGAGGGAAATAGAAAAATAGAAAGGGTGTATACTAGGCGAATGAATGTATGAGAGAAATAAAAGTGGCGAATGAACTTTTTGTTATGGTGTGTTATACGATGATTTTTTGGTCTATATTTCAATTTTTTTTTCTCCCTGATAGCAATAAATTAATTTAGAGCTAGATTTAGATATTCTACTGCTTATATAGACTTATATCCTGTAAATCCCTTCTGTCTGCTTACACATCAAAAAACGAAAGGAAGTATAAGGTCAACGAAGGATTTTAGTTCTTTACTTAGTGTTGAATCTCCTCTAATAGCTGGTGCTAGATTGTCTTAACCTTATTTTATTTCCTCACTTTGTCTTGTCTTTAACAACTTTTTATATCTTCTTAATTTATAGTTGTTGTCTAGCAGCCCATTTTTGGGTCAGGCTTGGAAATTAATATAACCTTTCGAGCAAACAATTGGAAATAAAACCGAAATTTATCTAGATAAAAAATGCAACAGTTATTACTGTTTATTAAAAAAGTAATCGATAGATACATAGTTGCAAGAGTAATAACTATGACTGGAACAATACACAAATAACCCGACATAGGAGAGAGGGAACTTACGACGACTTGGACCATTTACAAAGTCACACTGGACTTTGTAAATGGTCCAAGTCGGACCGAGACTTCGTGGTAAGCTCCTCTCTCCTATGTGAAGGTTATTTGTGTATTGCGGGGAAAAGTATTTATGACGTTATATTTCAGTGGTTCATCAACAAAAATTTTTGTTGAAGAATTGAGACACTTATGCAACACATGGGAATCTTTATTGAAGAAACGTTTCGCCACACAGTGGCTTCATCAGTCCAATACAAAGTAGAAATGGGTAAGGAGAGTAGAAATTTGAGGTAATCAGTCCCTCAACCTGGAAACGATGTGTTCAGTCCATCACTCTTGTAGGAAGTGCAGCATAGGGCCCGAGAGGTGGCTTATATACTGCGGTGAGATGAGATGAAGCAGGAGGAGGTGAGATCCAGTGGGACCTGCCACTAGTGTAAATAGGTCGTCGTCCCAAAAGGTTGGGCAAACGTTGAAGTCTTTGTACCAAGATTCCATGATGTTGCAGTGTCTGACGATGTGATGAATGGTTAAAAAACCGAAAAGTTGAAAATTGAGCATTTATGAACACGGGGATCTTTATTGAAAAAAAACGTTTCCCCCTTACACAGTGGCAGGTCCCACTTGATCTCACCTTCCTGCTTAAAACTCATTCACCGCGTTTATAAGCCACCTTTTGGGCCCCTAGCTGCACTTCTACAAAGTGATGGATGAAACAATCGATTCCAGGTTGAGGACTGATTCCTCAAACTTCTATTTCCCCTTCCCCTTTTTACTTTGTATTGGACTGATGAAGCCACTGTGGGCGAAAGTTTCTTCAATAAAGTTCCCATGTTTTGAAAAGTGTCTAATTTTTAAAAATTGTCGGTTTTCTAAACCCATTCATCAAAAAAGATTTTTGTATTATCTGTCTTGGGTTTAGGAAAAAAAGAAAAGAGAGAGGTGACGCACTCGTGTTTAGACTTTCTACCGGGGAGAAAATGGTTACACAGTGTAAGACATGCTTTGACATTTGTATCTCCCAGGCAGTAGTTAAGGATTTGCATCGCAATTAACTAGCTCCAAAAACATCTTAAATGCTTTTTTTTTTTTTACTTGCCGCCCGCTGAACCTGGAAGGTCTCGTCACATGACGGAAACCTATGGGATGATGGGTTATCCGACAATGAAGGAATTTTCAGATTTCCCACAAAATATCCCCCCTTGTGGTTTTTTGGGCGAAAGAAAGTTAGGGGAAGAATTCAAACGACCCCAATTTTGTTGTCAGTCATACGATCTATCTCCCGGAACAAAGGGAAAAAAAAAAAGACTTTGAAGTAACAGTAAAAAGGCTGGCCGTACCGTTATTTAACAAACTCCCGAATGTTTTAATAAGAAAAATTTTTTGAAAAAAGGGGCCACACAGTTGCCCTTTACTTGAACATTACGCAGCAAACATTTTGGAAAAGTCAGCGATGTGTGCATGACCGTTAGTCATCACAGTTCCCCCCACCGCACTTTTGATCACTCTGAATTTTTTGGTGAAAAGATGACACTGTCCTGCAACACCTGCCGACTATATTAAAAATATACTTTCTAATTGCTATCAGATAAAAAATTTTTGAAACGGTTTGCATAATAACTTTTTTAATTTCCCCACCTCACCTTCCTTTTATTTCACCCCCTTCCTCGCTTCACCTACCTTCCCTCACTTCCTCACCCTTTCCCCACTTACTCATTCCCTCATCCTTTTTTTCAAACCGTCCTCCTCTTTCTTAATGTTTGTATTTTTTTTGTGTTTTTCATTATCTTTCAGGGGTTCCCTTTATTATTCTCTCTCGTCTTCTCCTTTTTCCCTTTTGGTTTTACAATAAAAAAGTTTAAAAACTACCCCAAAAAAACGGCCTGACCTTTTACTGCTGACAAAACAATGGCTTCTTATCCCCACCTTTTTTTACCCTAACCCCCATTACTATTCCCATCACTGTACCAGGGACAAACCCCCACCTTTAAAACCATCACTGAAACCATGACTTCCCCACCCCCTTTAAACCTTACTGCTACCGGGCTTTCCCCCAACCTTTCCCCATAAACTGCTACCATGACTTCCCCCAAACCAAAATTTACCATCACTGCTACCATGACTTTCCCTGCCACCTTACCATCCTGCTCCCAGGGAATTTTCCCCAACCCCCAATTAAAAATCCCCTTGCTACCATGATTTTTCCCTGCCACCATTACCTTTAAATCCTACCATGATTTTCCCCAAACCCCATTACTATCACTGCAAACCATAACTTCCCCACCACCCTTACCATCATGCTCCCCCCAGGGTTCCCCACCAAAATTTTCCCCCTGCTACCATGCCCTTTCACCCCCACCATTACCACACTGCTACCATGATTCCCCATCACAATTACCACTGTTTGTACCATAAATTTCACCACCCCCTTACCATATGCTACCGACCCCACCCCCAAAACATTCCCAAATGGGGATAATGAATTTTTCCCCCCCACCAACCATTACCCCACTGCTACCATGACTTCACCACCCCCAAATTACCCCCCACTGCTACCAGCTTCCCCACCCCCCTTTTAAACCTCATTGCTACCCGATTTCCCCTACCACCATTACCTTTTTCCTGCAAACCATGCCTTCCCCCAAACCCCCAAATTTACCATCACTGCTCCAGGGCCTTCCCCACCCCCCTTTCCCTCACTGCTACCATGGCTTCCCCCCCACAATTACCACCACTGTACCATGATTTTCCCAAACCAAACCATTCCCTTTCACTGCTACCAAAATTCACCCCCCACCTTTTCCATCAGGGCAAACCTTTATTTCCCCCACCACCATTACCCACCTTGCTATCATACTTGGGCCACCAACCATTCCCATCACTCTACCATGTTTTCCCCAAACCACCATTACCCCCAACTGCTCCAGATTCCCCCCACCATTCCCACCACTTTTTAACCATGATTCCCCCACCCCATTACCATCACTGTTTCCATGCCCTTCCCCCCCAAATTTTTATCATCCCCGCTACCAACGTTTTTCCCCTTACCACCAAAACCATCACTGCCCCATGACTTCCCCCCACCATTATCATCATGCTACCATGATTTCCCCAACCACAATTCCCAAACCGGGCTGCTCCCAAATGACTTAAACCATCCCCTTTCCCCAATCACGAAACCAATTTAAACCACCCCCTTTACCACACTGCTACCTGACTTTCCCCCACCTTTAAACCACCCACGGGCTACCATATTCCTGCCCCCTTAAACCATCACTGCAACCAGGGATTTAAACCCCACCCCCTTTTTTCCATCACTTGCTACCATGATTTCCCCGGGGGGGCCCCCCATTCCCATCATGTCCCCCGATTTCCCCCCAAACCATTACCATCACGGAAAACCATGACTTCCCGCCCCCCATTACCATCACGCTACCATAACTTCCCTCCACCATTACCATCCCCTGCCCCATGATTCCCCCACCCCCTTTAACCATAATGCTACCATGACTTCCCCTGCCCCCATTCCCCACCCCACTCCCTTACCATGACTTTTCCCCCCACCTTTTCCCAAATCACTGCCCCATGATTTTCCCTTTCCACCATTACCCACTGCTACCATGATTCCCCACCAAAAATTTACCTTTCCCCTTCCCTCCCAATAACTTCACCACCACCCTTCCCCTTAAATCCCTCCTTTGACTTCCCCACCACAATTCCCACCACTGCTACCATGATTTTCACCACCACCATTACCATCACTGCTACCTGATTTCCCCAAACAAAAATTTCCCCACTGTTTCCCCATGACTTCACCCCCCCCCCATTACCTTGCCTGCTACCAGGGACTTCACCACCAACATTCCCATCAGGGCTACCATGACTTCCCCCCCATCTTTTTCCCCAACCCTTTGCTACCAGGGACTTCCCCCCAAACCCTTTACCATCAGGGCTCCCATGATTTTTCCCCACCATAAATTACCATCAATGCTACCATGTTTCCCCCCCACCATCTTTTACCCCCACCCAAACCATGATTTTCCCCACCACCTTTTCCACCACTGCAAACCATGACTCCCCCATACAACAATGACTCCGACGGTTCTCCCCTCCACATAAGGGGCCCAAACCAGGGCGGAACGAAAAGGGCGGCTCCATTTTGTCGCTCCCCAACAGTTTAAACTGTATGCCGGCGGTTGTAAGTTCCCCACTTCCATCCACCCCAACTCACTACCATCTTACCTTTATTAAACAAAAATTCTCCGGGAAATGACTCTGTGCATTTTTGATTTTTTTTATAGTTAAGAAACTAGATTTTTTATTCATTTAAACCCTAGGGGTTTTTCAAACTGGTGGAAAGTATGAGTT